CACATTGCACCATACATAAATAATTACATTGTAAAAATGACTCCATAATTACAAGTATAATATATATTTTCATATAATATATAAAACTTTATATTAAATCTAGGTAGATGATATTTGGGATAGTCTGTGTCTTTTTTTTTCTTTTTCCTTTCGTCAGAGGCTGACCGTTATCGATTGTTACTGAGTAAAATCTCCAGCCAACAAGGACACGACGTGATAAACTGTCTGGAGTAACACGGCCCCCAGCCTTTGGCGAAGCTAATCCGCACGCTGTTCGGGTCGTAGGGCCCGTCCACGTAATCCAGATCAGCCGTGTGCTGCAAGAGGCAGGACTTCTCATAGTCAAACACCTTGATGGAATAGCCCGGCATCACCTTGCGCACTATCAAAGTCCTACAGTTGGGGATGTCCAGTGTCGGGGAGTTGACGAAGATGGGATGCTCGCTGCGGTTGTAAGCCCACACACCGTCCGGTTCCTTGCTAAGTAAAATCCCATAGCCGATTTTACTTCGAGTCCTTCTCACAGTCTCGCTCCTGTTTTCCAGGTTTAGCTGTCCGAGGCAGAAGCCGTTTCCTTGAGGTAGGTCATAAAATATACTGACAGACTGTTCGTACACTGTGTAGAGGCGGCCGACGCGTGTCCGGGGCTCCCAATAGGCCACGTTGCACCAGTGGCTCCTCTTCACGGCATCGGGCGATGTACTGGCATCTGTGGAGGAAAGCAGAGAAGAGTCAAGGTTTGCTGTGACCACCTGGGAAAAGACAGGTGTGGAGGGGAAACAAATGGCTCTTCCCACCCATTGGCTTCGCTCACGTGGGAATGGAACTTGTGTTCAACCCGAAACTTGTCTTCAACCTGAAACTTGCGTTCAACCCAAAGCCTGTCTTTAACCCAAAGCTCGTGCTCAACCCAAAGACGGTCTCCAGCCCAAAGCTCTTCAATTATGTCAAATGCCACCAAGAAAGAAGGTTCAAGCAAAGGCTGGTGGTGACCCAACGGGTGACCCACCAGCTCCCATGGAGCTCAACGCCTCTTTCTCTCTCTAATTTAATGTTCAATCTTGCGTCCAGCATCCGGGACCCTGTGTACTCCAGATATGTGCGTTTCTACCACCAAGAGCTGCCGTGGACACTGTACTATTGCAACCCAGCCACCCCGGAGCTTGGCAGGTCCCCAAGCTCCTCCAGCATCGCCATCCTCCACCCCCAAGGCCAACTTGTGTTGAGCTGAAACACAGGGGATGTCCATGAAGTGCTTGGATGACTGACTCGACAGTTATCTCTGCTATGTAATATTCTTTGACAGCGATGCTGATGTTCCCACGGGGAACATGAAATCTGAGGAGGCATTTCATGCCAAGGGGGAGTAGTTGCTACGATCTATACATGTCCTCCTACAAAGCCATTGGAACTCTCTCCAGAACAATGAGAAATGCCTCCTTCTTTCTAGGAATTACGTTCAAGGAAGACAGGAGGGACGCAGACTGCCAGAAATCCATTTAATTTATGATGCCTCCAGAGTTTACGATGCCTCCAGAAGATTGGAACTCTCAGCCCTAAAAGAGCCCCCAAAAGGGTGAATTAACCTCTTGCTGAACATCGTTTCTGCTCCTACCACACCGGTGAACAGCAAATCACGCTGGGACTTCAAGCAAGGAGCTCTGCTTTGAGCCAGCCCTGCTCCGTGCCCGGCATTAAGCTCCCTGACAATATATCACGCGCCCGCGGCCTGCTGACCCCTCTGCCTTCGCGCCATCATGTCCGATTAACTCACACGTGGGGTGATGCCATTATTTTGCTTCAGAGACCCTATTGACACACCAGATTTCAAGCACAGCCCTACAGCCCCGTTTCTTTTCAGGCTCAAATTATCCCGGAGGGGAACGGGCTCTCCTCCCCATTAACGATCTTTGAATTAAGGTGATTTGTTAGAGTTTAACTTGAGTTTTAACTATATAATTTTAAGGGGAGGGAGATGGGGGGGAAGGGGGGTAATTGGTCAAGCGGGGAGGCAGCGGGGCTGGCGGGATGCCCCTTGCTATGGGCGATGCTCATCATCTTGCACTGACCCCATCACCTGTCACAAGTCTAAACCACCCCGAAAATGCCAGATTGGCTCCCTTCTCCCCCATCATCTGTTTAAATAATTTTGAAGATCCAGCACAGCCACCAACAGCCCCTCTTCGGTCTGACGCGCATTTTTGCCAGAACTGGGAAGGAAACCCCGCAGCAGTCAGACACTTCAACCCCACGGGGAAAAGAAACACCGTTTTTCCCTGCATTTGTGGCAATCCTCCACGGAGGAGTGAGCCAACAGCTTCGTGGCCCCTAATACTGAGGGTGATGTCCTGGGCCTCCTCCTAAAGGCATAGAAAAAGCCCTGCTGAATGCAACTGGGAGAGACGCACCCCTCACATTCAGTCAGTGGCCCTGCACGGCAGGGAAATGGGGGAAGACCCTTGGTCAGAGCAATGGCAGCATCCTGGAGCTGGGTGAGGCAAACTTGGGTTTTTTTAACCCAAGGACCAGGTCCTGTCCTCCAGCTGCAGCCCTCGTGGTGGGGTGGGACACTCCACCACATCCCAGTGGTACCGATGGGTCTTTGTGTCTCTGTCCTGAGCTATCCTCAGTGGAAACCACTCAGAGTCATCCTGTATGTAATAAGCTCAACCTAATGCTTCTCTCCGCTAACAACAAAAATCAGCAAAACAAAACTTTTTCTTCCCCATTCTTACTCTTTGGCCCATAACTGTACGTCCTTTGCCATCTTGAATCGCCCTCCTGCGTCCGGATCGCCAGGAGTTAAACTTAACAACCCAACTTGCTCCGAAAGGGTAATGACTTCATGGGCAAGTGCATGATGGATATGTTGTACCCGAGCACATCATTAAATACTGACGACTGGACTGGACTCTTCCTGAAGTATCTCGTGACGCCTTGCAAAGCACCAGCCATGAGAACATGAAGTTTTATGGGGGGAAGAGAAGATTCAGACATAATTCTGGGTTAGAAACCCCCCCAGCTGCCTAGTGCCAATATGACACACTAAGATCTCCACCAAGAACAAAAACGTTGATGAAATTGGTGATAAAAAGTTTCAGAACCTCTTTGCGGTATTTCTGTAGCAGTTGCAAAAATGACGTTAACCAAGTTTATGACACTAACACAAATCTGACCCAAACAGCCTTATCTAATTAAACGTTACTGAAGCAAGAGCATCCTTGGCTACATCTGTACAAATCCCTAAAATAAACAGCTTGGCATGGATGAAAATCATTTGACCTTCTCTGATAACATCCCTTGGTCTACCACCACGCAGACGGTCAGTGCATTTTGCTCTTTAAAATGCGCTACGGCAAATAGCTCCGGATTTTCTTTTAAGAGGTGAAACAAGATGTGGTTCATAAGTGACACAACAACAGAAAGAAGAGGTGCTGAGCAATGGAGCTTCACTTGCAGGTGCATCTTCCACAGCGTCCAGTTTCTACAGTCATCTTTCCCCCCGGACATCATACAGTTGAGATGCTCCCAGTGCCTTTCCAAAACTCTTCTCAAACGCTAAATTTTGCTGTTGTCCCGCTCGAGTGATGCTGGGGGGCTACAGACAAGCTCAGAGCTTTTCATCTGCTGGGCCCCGAGGCTGGTAGCAATTACCGAGCTCTGCATCTGTTTAACCTCCCAATCTCCACAAAGCCCTGCATGCCCATTAGGTAAGTTGGTCTTGTTATTACATTTTTTAGAAACTACCACTCAGCCCCTGAATTTCCCTGACAGACTAAGAACGGGCCAACTTCAAAACTGACGCTTCCCCATCAGCTGAATTAATCAGGGGACCAGTTGGCAATAAACATTTAAGTAAGTGTTTCCCATAGTTTACTGCAAATTAACAGATTGAGTGGGGGAAAGCAAAGCAGGAGGGAACCAGTGTCTGCTCTACCAGAACCTCTCGCCGTAGGTGCCACCATCCCTGGTGCCATCTCTGCTTTCCAGGAACCGGCAAGTATTTTGGCAAAATCATCAACCTACACACACTATGAAAACAGGGGAAGGTTTTTATACACCTCCTGCTTTCATGCTTCAGATGCTTTCATGCCTTATTAAAATCACTTCCATGCAATTTACGGCATGAGCTTCAGTCCATCCATACACGCACGCATCTCGGGGGGCGAAATTCCCCCTGCCAATGTGCTCCTCATCTCTGTCACCCAGTGACAGCTCCGCCAGCTCAAAGCACTCCTGGAGATGTCCTGTGCTCCTTCAAATGGGCGAGGACCTGAGTTTTAGGTAACCGCACAACAACCACCTACAAGTTTCCTCTCCACCCCACATCTCCTGGCCATGGGTGAAGAAAGGCTTTAAAAGCCACGGGCCAGCTGCAAAAGCAACCTGCCTGTGGCCCGCAGGCAAACAAAACACCCCGAAGGAGACGGTTAAAAGGTTCATCTGAAAAGCCTCTGCCCCCGGAAAGCATCCGGCAGGGTCCCCTTCTCCGCCAGCCCCATCCATCGCTGCCCTCGCCGGCCGCCTGGCTCCCCGTGCCGCGGTGGGTTCCTTTGCCTTCTTTTATCTCCCAGCGCACCCAACCAAATCCCGAAAAGATGAACTCATCTCGCAGCCCTGACACAAAGCAAGCGCTTCAGCGAGCCCCCAACACAGGGGGGGCCTGCGCTGCGTCTTATCCCCTGCCAAGCCGGAGTTTCGCCTCCAGCCATTAGCCACTACCACTCCGCAGACAGCAGGGGCGGCCGGCAGAAAAGCATCTCCTCTGCCTTTTAAATAAATATTCCATTTTTCCCTCCTCTTTTTCCACGCTGCCCTTTATGCACAGACAAGAAAATTCACTTTTTTTCCTCTCCCCCCCTCCCCTTTCTGCTGGAACAGAGGCAGGCTTGTTATCTATTTTTT